TATTGAAAAGGAAATAAATAAATTTCCATTTTACTTTAGTTTGTTTCGATTAAGTCGAACAGTATTAATTATGCATTAAGCATTTTTTAAAGAATAGTTATAACCAGACTTTAAAATTTATGTATACACAACAAGAATAAGAGAGAAAAACACAAATCAGTAAAAATATTAGAAATTACAAAATTTTAATCTGTTATATTCAACCTGTAGAATCCATTAAAAAAGGAAATAAATTTTGTATTTTATTCTAGTTTGTAGTAATTGTGGTAGACAATTTCTATTATGCTAAAAGAACTACTATAATGACACTGTAGATTTTATGTGTTTATGATAAAAATAGGTAACAGGAACACACACATACACACAAATATATAAATATATGAGAAGTATTCAAAAATACTGGATATTATTATTTATAACAAAAATGTTTGTGAGAAATAGCAAACAATAAAAAAACATTCGTTTAAATTTGTCGGATCTACTAAAGAAATAACTAATTTGGCTCCAGTTTGACGCAACCAAGATAGATAATTATTGCTTCCCCATAAAGTTCCGCAGCCTAGTTATATCGAGTAATTGTCCTTGATCTGAATAAATGCGGTCCGATTATTTGAATAAAGTAGTCTCGTTAGGCGAACTGCAGCGGCATCGTGCAAAAGTCTCGGAACTGGCACGAGTGCCGCAAAGACGATCTCGACTTGGGAAATGGGCGAACGTAGACAGTTCTTCGGAGCAAGAGGAAGAGAAACTCGGAGTAGGGTGGCGAGAAGAAGAGAGAGAGGGAAGTGTAAATGCTGTCTAGATCGGTGGCCGGACCGATATGAGTCCGGTAGAATTGGGCTGATGTCGGGAGGACCCGGCGGGGCCCGTCGCGGCCCAGTTCTCATGCACGTCGGCAAGGTCTCGATTCGCCCGGGGCGATCCGAACACATGTGCGCCAACGGGTTGCCGCGATTACGCAACCCGTCTTCTTGGCTCGTTCGTTTTTCCTCTCTTCTTGTTCTTCTTCTTGCTCCTCCCCTTCTTTTCTTCGCTCGTTCTCTTCTTCTCGCTGCTCTTCGTAATCTTCTTCGGAGTGTTCTATCGCCGTCGCGGTGCACACACCTGTTGCACGCTTG